GATGGGGGAAAAGCACAGAAGAAATCAAGGGAAGAGCTTGCTTCTCCCAGCTCCCGAAATGTCCTTGGAATGGGGCTGGGAGCCTGGGCCTGCCTCCCGCACCCAGCCAGGGCCTCTCAGACATGGCTTCGGGGCTCCCCACCCACACAGCCAGCTCTGGAGACTTTGACAGGCTGATATGCTGGGCTGCGTTCTAAAGGTGAGAGAACAGAGTAAAAGGAATCATGTCTTTTTATGGAAGCTACCAATTCCAGGGAAGATTTTGGCCTTGCAGGGAAGATGGAGGCTGGAAATTCACCCCAAAATAACCACGTTGCAAAATATGAACTCTTTCTTTTTACTCAGTTTTCTCCATCGATAAACTCATCCGATTTTCAAGTACACTCCTTAAGCACCATTTAAGGAATGCATAAAACCCACACTACAACCCTGATCTCTTCAACTTCGATTACGTAGCCGCGATTAAGGTGGCCAAACAATGAACTAGAAGCACGTGTGCACATCTGTGGACAGCCAGACACAGACATAAGGGAGGAGAGCAAATATAACAGATGGAAAAGCAAATCTATAACTATATATATAATGTATGTATCTATAGAAGCAATACATTGTTTAGATGTATTACGTTAGTGAATCATCACGATGCTTCCACAAGGTAGGTACTCCTATCCCCACCGGACAGGCAGGGTGCGCTCGGGCTCAGCTGAACGGAACCCAGGAACAGTGGGTCCTGTGCCTCATGGAACGTCAGGGAAACTATGATGCTCACGGCATCCAGAACCCCTGGGGTCAGCTCGGTCCACAAAGGGCCTGCGCAACTTAGGTGCCCCACACACCTCCCAGGTGGCTGTGGAGGACTATGTGACCGGAAATCAGAGATTCAGTAATAAGTGCGAGCTCCACGTCAGGTTCTCCTAAGACCCTCATGCCAATCACGTGCACACCGGGAGCCAACCAAGAGCAGGGTCGCTTTTCAGCTGTTCTGTGTTCATCTGGCCCCCCTCTTGCCGTAGACTAGATCACAAGTCTACCAACGCACGTCTACTCTGTGCTCACTTCTCTCTGGGTCTCAATACTCGGTTAACCACTGACCAGGACTTAACGGACTATCCCTGCTTTCTGGAGACTTAGCACCTCAAGTTAGGAGGAGTAAGGAAGCTAGGGAAAGCTTTATGCTAACATTGTGTCCATAAGACTTAACTCCTAAAACTATTTCTTTAAATGCTGAAAATTTTTCTTCTTTCCTATCTCAAGTCTGCAAAATCCAAGTGCTTAAGGAAAGATGCAATTGGAAGAGATGGACAGACCATGAATTCATCTTAAACGAACGTATTAGAAAGAGTATTTTAAAAAGTAACACTTTCAAGTAGTCCCCAAACCATTTCATCATTTCCCTCTTGTGCACAGTGAGACTAAGTCTACTCCAGCATCAGGAGTCAGTCCCTTGTGATGTGAGGCAGAAATGTTCTCCACAGTGACCTGCTATAAACGCAGAGGACCAAATCCCAAACACTGTGGGTCACAGAAGACAAGGCGGTGTTAGAAAAACAGAAAGAAAGTCAAGTAGAAATCAAATCAATTTGGGTAACTATTTGATCGCAGGCTTCCACAATGTGGCTCTCCTCCGTCACCTGTTCCACGTGTGCATGTGAGCACGCACAGTCGCTCTCTAGGGAAACTGCACGTACACACGGACAAGTTAACTCTCTTCAAGTTAATTAGATCATAATTAAGCAGGTGCTCTGGGGCTCCTAGTGAATGTACCAAAGCAACAAGTGATTAATCATCACTGACTCTCCATACGTCTGAGATTAGCACAACGGCCCCATTTTTTTTTTCCCCACAAATAGTGACAAGAGAGAGGGTCAGTATTTACAAAGGCTCTCCTGTTTCACCTGCACCTCTGCTGGGACCTGGAGCCAGGCGAGCTCCCTCTTGCTCCCGGGTCACCCTGGTGCCGTGGGAGGGACAGCTTCAACCCCGAGGCCCCCACAGCACCTCCAGGGCCCTCGGAGGGTGGCTGTACCACGCCCATCCTGAGCGCAGGGAGGCTGAGGTCACAGAGCCGGCCCAGATTTGAACTCTGATCAGCTGGACCCCACAGCCTCTCCGTCACATCAGCTAGGACACTTCTGGTTACGTGCTGACAAAGGTCAGAAGTGAGGCTGGAGATTTCAAGCTGGGTGATATTTTCTCTAGGGAATGTGCAGGGTGGATGGTATTGAACGGAACGGGCTTGAAAGCAGGGGATTGTGCAGACTAGGGGTGTTGTGGACAGTGGCGAGGCCCCGGGGGCACGACCCCCAGCTCGAGGAGGGGGTGGGAGCTCCAGCTTCCAGAGGCAGGGGCCTCCCAGGCGAGGGGGAAGCACCAGGGAGGTTTTCTGCTGCAGAAAAGCAGGCGTGATCAGCATATCCGCCAGCCACCCAGCCCGACCTGGCCGGGAAGGTCTACTACAGGTGGTGAAGGCACTGGAGGACACGGAGAACATGGGAGCGCGGGCTCCCGGCTGCTGGAGCTCTGGGGACAGACCACACGGCAGGAGCGGTTATGCCATGCCCAGGGTTGCTTCGGTTTCAGTCAAACACTGACAGAGGAGGCACTCCCCTCAGCTCCCGGCCCCACCCTCGCTCTGCCCGAGGGGAGTGAGGACGCCACAGCGTGACCGGCCTGCAGGGGGGTGGCCAGACGGGCAGGGGGGCTCAGGCACCACGCGGAAGGCTTTCTTCGGAGAGGCCCGGCCAGGGCGGACGTGGGGTTCTGCGTGTGCTGCGTGGGGGCAGCTCGCTGGGTCCCTCCGACACTTGCCGACGTGGCCAGTATTGTGGCCACCAGTGTCGGCCATGACACGGCTGAAACTGTGAAGATGTGTGACTGATAGCAGCTTCCAGCTCCCCAGGTACTTCTACTTCCACCCCAAATGGCCTTGTCAGAGAGCACAAAGCAGGGACAAAAGCGTCACTTAAAAGGTTTTAAGGACTTTGGAGATGGGAGAACGAGCAAATCACCAGGAGCACGCACTGCATCTCAGGCCCCGGCTCCTCCCCGAGCTCGGACCACTCTGCCGCACACTTGCCTTTCCCACGTCGCGTGCTCTCCGCAGGAAGATCTGCCAACCAACACCTCCGCAGGGTCGGTCACAGGCACCGTAGAAAGTACTACTGACGCTTTCTGTTCAGCCCCTCTGTCCCCTCCGTCCGACCACATCCCTGACGCTCCAGGCCGCTCGTGACGCCACGCATGGCCCAGGCCGCTCGGGCGGCTGGTCGTGTAGTCGGCTGCTTGTCCCAGTCAAAGGGTCCGCGTTCGTCCACGTGCTCTCATGGCGCTTGCTCGTCCCGAGTTTGGGGCCAGGCCACAGACGGAACTGCATGAATGCTACCCAAACAGGCATTCCTGGGGGAGCTCCTGCTCATCTTTTGAAGGTATAAAAGGTATAATATAATAACATTTCCAAGTAGCTTCCGTAGAGAGTAAAGCAGATTTGTTCTAAAGCCTAGAAGTCACCATTTGGAAGTGTCGATGCCCTTGGAACAAGCTACTTGAACTCTTCAAAGCCAGATTTCTGAGTCGTGAACATGATCTACAGGGACTGTGCGGTGGGGAGCTGGCAAGGTGCGGGGGTTGCGTGGTCTTGTCTGTCCTCGGCCTCCCGCACGGGTGTCCAGCCCAGGGCTCTAACCTTGATTCCCCTTCCACAGCAAAGTCTAAAACGAGGCCCCCAGAGACCAGGCGGGCTCCAGTGGGACACAGGGGGATGCAGGCGAGCCTCTCAGGCTGAGCACACTGCATTTCAATCATCTGTGTGGGGCTGTCCCACGTGCTATAGGACATTTTTAGCTGCACCCCTGCCCCTCCATCCCTGGGACTCCAGCCGTACTACTCCCCAAACTGCGCTCATCAGACATGGCCCGACGTCCATGGGGCCTGAGAGCCCTGCTGGGAATGCCCTGTGTGAGTCGGGGGTGGTACTCCCCGGCCTCCCCAGCCCCGCTCCCCAACGCACGCAGGATTCGGTGTCATCCAGGAACACGCTAGGCCACCCGCTCAGCTGGGCGAGTTTCCCCCATCCACTAACTGTGGCCACTAACTCTTCTCCCCTCGCTGAACAGCATGATGACCCACGTCAGCAGGTGAGCAGAGGAGGAGACCCACAGTATCTGGCCGTTGAAATGCATTCGTCAAGCACCTGCTAGTCATTTCCGGACACACCTGTATCAGGGTCCATGCTCCCGTGTCTCATCACATAAACAACAACGAGTGGGCATCTCCATAGTGACCAGACAGAAACAGTCTACTCGGTGGGGAACCACAGGCTTTTTGGTAGGTCCTCCTGGCCGGGGCAGAAATTCCTCGAAAGGTTCTCATCTTGCTTACACCTCCACGTTCTTCTCCTGCTTGAGGAAAACTGACAAATGCTCACCTTTCATTCTTGCTCAAGGCTGCTTGGGAAGCTGCACAGAAGGTAACTTCACTCTTGTTTTAATTTTTCACGGAAACACCTTTACACAAAATTCCAATTCCCATAAAGAAATGTGGGCAGACCGCATCGGGCTCCCTGCTCCGGGGGAAGCCTGCTTCTCTTTTCCTCTGCCACTCCCCCTGCTTGTGTTCCCTCTCTAGCTGTCTATCAAATGAATAAATAAAATCTTAAAAAAACAAAAAGAAATGTGGGCAGAGTGCTGGTAGCTTTAAAAGGTGCAACACGGTGCCCAGTTAAAATAGTGATGGAAAGAACCACAGGCTTCTGGCCAGACTGTTACAGAAGCAACTCCGGTCACCCCTGCGCACTCTGCAACAGTCTTTGCTTACGTCAAAGTGGACAGCCCCACTGGGAACCAAACAGGTGGAGAGAGGTCACGGTTCAAGCCAACTGGTGCAGCTCTCCTGCTTGACCCCCCGGCAACAGCGCTTCCAGCGGGCAGACACTACGCTCCTTCCCTCGCTAGACAGCCCCGCACGCTGGGCAACCAGGAAACAAACCCACAAGCGCACCGTACCTGTCATGTCTCAGAGCTCGCATATCAACATAGACGGTGGTTGGGTCAGGTCCCGAGGTCCCCTGCAAGCAAGGACACAGCGCAGTTAACTCAAGTTTGTGTGGGAGGCATCTGGGTCTGCGCTTCCTACCAGTTAGTGAGAATTTCTGTGGTAAAATCTCAAACTAAACAAAACCTAAAAAGCACTAAACCCACACCTCTCTCCAAGATACCTGTTAGTTTCTAGTTTGATAACCTCAGTTCTGAAAGGAGCATCTTAGTAGGATTATGCCGGATTCTCACATGGCTTGACTGTCAATCATATTTACAAAGATAAGAAAGAAAAGAGGCATGCCACACGTCTTGCCAGATAAACAAAGGCTGAAACTGTGAAGATGTCTGGCTAGCAGGTTGTCAAGGATAGGAGGCATCGTTTGCTGAGGAGTCCCTGCTACATGCATTCCAAAAGGCGTGTTTTTAGAGGTCAAGATACTGAAGCAGAACACGGGACTTGACTGACAGCTCGAAAAGGAAGAGATGAGATAATTATCTCGTTCCTTTTAGCTCTGCCTCTGTCTTTGCTTCCCTCCAGCCGAGGGAGGTTATTTTTGTAATGTGACTCAGGTCAGGGAGGTGGTATGTTTGTCAAGAGTGCAGTCAGCCTGGGAGCACCCTGTGACTCAGCTACCGAACACAGGGGTGCAGAGACCTGGTCTTGGCACCACAAATCCCTTCAAAACGTGCTGGCTTGACTTCTGACCAGTGATTTCCCTCCACGTAAGAGCAATGCAATTAAACCTACGTTATAAACCAAAACTTCTAGCTCTATTTCTTGGGAAGGCCATGTGATACCTTGGGTAGAAAAAGATGGAGCCCAAACAAATTTCCAAAAATGGAGAGAGCCCCTCACAATTTATTTAAGAACTATGCTAAAATTCTTCAGGAGAGAATCTTAACCTTGTATTATAAAAGAATAAGATAAAGACACCTTCCTTAAATCAGGCTGCACTACTCAACACTCCTGGTCACTGGTCTCTTACCATGACAGAGGATAGCACGTGCCGTCAGCCTCTGTGTGGAAGCTTACACCCCACCCCGTATTACGCAAAGAACATTCTCTCCAACCTGGGGATACTCAAGGAGCCACGTTACAGACTAGTGCTGAGTGGAGAACTGGTATGATGTTCTGAGTAATGCAAAACACATAACCACAGAAGGCCAATTAAAAAGTAAACAAATCAGAAAACAGGTCACCAAATGTGGGAAGTGAAGTCAAACAGACAGGACCCCAAACTAGCAGAGAAACCACTGACTGTGCATAATGGAAGTGTTTGTCGTGAGCGTGTGACGTTCGAAGACGTCTGAGAGAGCGCGTTGTGCTGGGCGCCAGTCCTCCGACCGTGGCCCGCACCCCAGCCAGGCTCCGCACTCAACTTCTAGTGTGGCCCAGTGCTGGAAGCTGATGAGACGGTGGTGAGTGGGGGGCACTGGTGTGGATGAAGAGGAAGATCCCCTACCTGCTCAGCGAGCTTCCACAGCCTGTGGGGCTACAGCAGCAGGGGCGGGGCAAGAAGAAAGGAGAGAACACCAGACCAACAGAACCACAAATAAGCGACACACAGACACGCAAACAAAACAACCCAACAATTAAAATGGGATGAGGAAGAGGGAGGGTAGGGAGGAGAATGCAAAAAGCAGGGAACAAAGTAAAAAGAAGATCAAAAACAATGTCAAATATGGAAATTGTTAAAATCAATCACTGTACCATTAAAGACTAAAAACAAAAAACAAAAAATCCTAGATGTCAACAAACCCACAGAGCAATGGAAGAGGGCAACAGATGACGACCTTGGACACACAGACCCGAGTCACCTCCTTAATACACAAGGTTGATGGTATCACCCGGCAGTTTAAGTGTATGATACTTGCAGCTTCTTTTCTTTTCTGAGGGAAGTAGGGAGTATGAATTTTATAGCGAAACTGTTGAACGTTCCCTCATTGAAATTCACTTGCTCCTTCAGTGGCATGACTTTAAACCAGGCAGGTCCGCTTACCTGCGGACTGTTTCTGAGAAACCAGGGCTGTAATGTAAATGGATTTTCTCTTCCCTTTGATTTTCTCAATGATGTTTTTGTTTGTCTAGTTCACGTTACTGCAAGAATGCAGTAAATAATACATAAACACACAAAATAGGTGTGAAGTCATCACTAAGGCACCTGGTCAACAGTGGGCTATTAGTAAAGTTTCTGGGGAGTCAGAAATTCTTTCTACGTGGATTTTCCACTGGGTGGGGGTTGGCGCCCCTAAGCCCCGCATTGCTCGAGGTCAACTGTAGTTCCAAGGCTCTGATGACGGTCATGAAGGAGAGCCTGGATGCGTTCATATCTAAAATCAGGACGCCTAGCCCTGCTCCTCCACAAAAGAACCTACAAGAGAAGATGCCCAAGTACATATGAAGCATGAAGGAACTGAGCCCCGGGCTTGCACTCAGTCCAGGTCAGCTGTGTGAGCAGGGACCTGCCCCTCCCGAGCACGCACCCCACCCCCATGTCAGCCCCGCACGTGAACAGAGAGCTCTCCGTCTGGAGCACGCACCCGTCAGCCCCGCACACCAGCAGGGACCTGCCCCTCATGAGCTCGGGCCTCATGTCAGTCTCACAAAGACACTTCCCCCTGGTTCTCACCTTCCGTGGTTTTGGGGGTCCACGGCCACCCCTCTTAAATTACTGACGTCGGCGCAGCAGAAACACTCCAGAAAGCACCTGGAGTCAGGTCCCTGGAGCACGTGGGGAAGAGCAAGGGACGGATTCAAATCCTCCCAGAAGCGCTCTCCAGGGCCCTGGATGAGGGACAGTTGCGGTCCAGCAAGGACCGCCACAATATCAAGTTGTCAGCTGGGTTTCCAGGTGGTGACACCCAACGCCAGAGGGAGACGCTAGCACCGCTCAATGGGGAATGGAGCCTTTAATAACAGCACTGCTCCAGATCTAGAATGAGGCTTCCATGCCCCTGTCGCTGCCTTCACAGTGGCAACCAGGCAGTGGCTTTCTTGGCGCGGAGCTGCAGCAGGACAAGAAGGAACAGGCTCGGGAAAGGCGTCTGCACTTAAAGTACACGGGACTTTTACTGGACCTATTCAAGCTGAATGCAAGGTTTTCAATAATTCCCTTCATGACTCCTTGAATCCCAAACATTCCAAATATTAATGGAGCAAAATAAGCCCATGTTTTCTGTAAATTAATTCAGATTTTGCTGTGATGGCTCAAGGCATTATGTCAGAGAAAAATACGTATGACCAGGAATAAATTTCCCAACTTGTAGGCTCAGGGAAGGGACAACTCAGCATCTGGAGCAAAATCTGTCTGTGCATCATTAATAAGGGATACACGAAGGAGGAGGTAAAGAGTTAATATATAGTTGTTTCCAACTTTAAAAATCTTAAGGTACAAAAAAATTGAGATTTCAAGATACATATGAGGGACTGTGTATTTAACAAAACTTCCTCACTTGAACAAAATTTACTTTGACAAAGAATGTAAGCTGGAGTTTCTTTAAATAAGGAGATCCCTAATGCATAAAAGTTCCCCCGAGTATTTAAAGATCATCAAATATTTGCAAAAGGGACCAGCAGGAAAGAAAATTCACTCATTCCAACTGGAGCTTATTCAGAAATGAAAGAGCATGTTTGAAATTTCAGGTTATATTAATAAAAAGAAAGGATTCACTCTAAAGTTCAGCTGTGCAATAAATATGTTGCATATGGATATATTCATACTAAAAATCATTTTTTCTTTGGTATAAAAGTACTGTCAGTTAGGCATTAAACACTTCTTGATCACATAAGCTATATTTAAATCTCAGCTGAAAATATAGACTCACATCCTAAACACAGCAGAGAAAATCCAACACCTCAGCACATAGCACCGTAAGCTTACGTAACAAATTCCCGAGTAGAAATGTGTGCAATAAAGCCACAATGCCCAAAGTACTGATGTTGGGCATATCTACGTGCTGGGTGTTGGAGGAGTTGAGGGAATTATCCATAAACCGGGGTCAGGGGAGGCAGCGTCCCCCGGGGCAGATTATGGGGAGCACAAAGCAGACTCTGGGCGCAGCACAGGCTCATCACTGGCCACGCTGGCAGTTGAACGCGGAGCATTGGTCTTGCCTGCAGGACTCAAGCCAGGTTCTTTGGTGCTCCTAGCAGATCTGTGTATCAACCATGATCTTTTCACCATTTTAACTGAGGTATAATTTACAGACAACAAAATGCACAGATTTTCACATTTGGTTACATGAATTTGGACAATCATATACACCCATGTGACTACCACCCCAAATAGCATATAAAAACTCCTTCACCTCCGACCCCAAAAGGCTACCACTTTGTGATTTCTAACACCACAGATTAACCTATTATCAGACTTCATATAAAATAACACAGCATGTATTCTCCTGTGTTGGCTTTCACTGAACACGATGATTCTGGAATCCACGCATGATGTTTGCGGCAGCAGCTCGCCCCTCTATGTTCTGGGAAGTGTTCTGCTGTATGAACACGTCATCAGGTACTCTTCCATCCTGCTGCTGTGGGACACCTGGGTTGTCTCCAGTTTGGGGCTATCATGACAAAGCTTGTACAAAGAAGTTTGTAGGCAGGTTTTCTTTCAGGTACATACTCTGACATGCTGGCTCACAGGGCGGACATGCATTGAACTTTATAGGAAACTGTTAAATCTGTCCCCAAACTTGCAGTGATTAAGGGTTCTAGCTGCTCCACATCTTCATCACCATTTAGTACTGTCAGCCTTGTCGATCTTAATTATTCTAGGAGGTGAGACATGCAAGCACTGTATTTTTTTTTTTTTTGAAGTGAAAATCACGGTTTCAATGGAGTACCACATGTTGTGCTTTGATTCATTTTTGGGGAGCTAATCAGCAAAGGGAGGAAGCACCTTCAGGAACTGCACAGAACATGGAATGCTTCCCAAATCTGCAGGTCACCCTGCCGGAGCTGTGCTTACCTGTTCTATATTGTCCTCACTGTGGGCTATGTGCTGCCTACGCAAGTATGCCATGTGAT